CGCTGAGCCGCGCGCGCGCCATCCGAGCCTTGGCGGCGGCTTCCACGCCAGGGAGCCCAGGCGGCGAGGGCGGAGGCGCGGAGTCTGCGCGGCTCGAGGCGAGGGATGGGCGGGAGGGCTTCAGTCCCCGCGGTGGGACCCAGCCTGCAGGTTCAGGAGCCGCGGAGCCTGGAGAGACCCGCGCTCTGGCCGGCCGTGCGCATGCCCGAGCCTTGGCCCGGGGAGGGCAAAGTGAGGCGCTCACCTTCCTAGGTGCTCGCCGACCTGCGAGGACGCACCTGGAGCGCAGAGCTTTCAGCCTGAGATGGCAGGTGCAGCATCACCTTTAACACTGAGCTGGAGGGGTCGTGCCGGGAACGTTAGTTAGAACCAACCCAGGCAAAAGGAAGTGGTTTTCCGTGATGGAGTAGTAGGACTTCACTCAAACCCCAAACCAAGTCCACTGTCAATGGATTCTTACTCGTGACGCCCTCCTGCGTTACAGCGTAGAACTGTTCCTTGGGGGTTTCTTGCCATGCCTGTCTCGGTCAGCGTATTAGCCTTTAGGTTATTACCTTTCAGGTCAGTTGTTGTTCTTGTTGATTGCCCTCGAGCGACCCTATGAACAAAAGGCCTGAAGCCTTTCTATAACTATTGTTTTTCCAGGTTCATAGAGTTTCCAGAGGCATGTAGTTTAGGAAGCAGATGCCACTCCTGCTTCCAAACCCGTCTTAAAACTAGGAGCTCCACCAAAAGCTGTCCACCATGATGAGCAGTCATTATGGCATTTGACCTCCCATGGTCAGTGGACATGCGCAAACCCTTGTGCAGAGAGTGATGACCAAATCCCAAGCCTGTGCCTCGTCCTTTGGATCCTCCACACTTCATCTTTAGGGGAGATTGTCCAGCTTTTCTTCCACCTTCTGGTTACCATCCTACTTCTTTATACCCTCGGCCACCAGGGCTTCTAGGAAATGGTCATTGCTGGGTAGTCTGAAATGACTCATAGATGACCCTCCGAGGGGTTTTCAGGTGTAAATCATGCGGGAGGATGTAACCGCCCGCTGAAACCGCCCTGCGGGTTCATAGGTGTTCTAGAGTGGAACCTGTGCGGATTAAAAAGAGGAGCAGGGACACGAGAGATGGGGCTAGACAAAGATTCCTGATCAAGCCCAAATTTATTCAATGAATTCTGCTATAAATAGGCGGCAGAGTGGGCCGGGCTGCCAGGGAACCCAGCCCTAGGTTATCAGTTTACAAAAGAGAGGGAGGGGCATACCCCAAGGTGTTGATTCACAGGTGCTGATTTAAGAGGTAGGCATAGTCCCAGAGATGGACAGGGGTCGTGGCTGCATGTACTCAGGATGGCTTCCTACAGGAGGAGATGGTTCATCTCTCTTAAGTGGTGCAGCTGGTGGATTTGAACTGAGTACCTTTTGGTTGACACTGCAACTCTTTACCACTAAGCCACCAGAGCTGAGAGGAGGGAGAGCATTCAGTTAAACACAACTACAGAATGGCTGACCTTGCCTTCTCAACCTGTGCACAATATCCAACACTTTTACAATAGATTATTATGATCCATATATAAAGGTCAGACAAAATGATTACAAGAAAATGATGAAAGTTGGGAAAAATCCACATTAAAATTAGAAAGTAACATAAATAAAAATAATAAAAGCTAGTGAGGAATATTACGCCAGGGTTGTTAGGTAAAATAATGATACCCAGGGATCCACACCCAGCACCCACAGAAATAGCAGTCAAACTAAACGACTTGTTGGACTGGACAAATCTACTGTCAAGACCTCTTGCTTTATATAACTGTGAAGATTAGATAACAAAGACTGAAGTTGAAGCAATGCCTTTGAATTGTGGTATTGGAGAGAATTGTTGCATATGCCATGGACACAAGCAAATGTGTCTGAGAAGAAATGCAGCCGGGATTTTTCTCAGACAAGGAGGGATGAGACAGTGTCTCCTATGCTTTGAGCAGTTCTCAACAGGGGCCAGTCCCTGGAAGGAGACATCATGCTTGGAAAAGTGGAGTGTTAGAGAATGAAACGATGACCCTCAGTGAGGTGACACAGAGACTGCAACCATAAATGTAAGTACATTGGAGGTTTTGAGAATGGTTTTGATCTGTGGTACAGAGTCCTTGTGATCAGACGCACCTCATAACAGCAGCAACAAAGAAGTCCACATTCTAATCTCTGGTGCTTGTGCATATGACACCTTCCGTGGCAAAGTGAACTTTGCAAATGAGATTAAAGTAAGAACCTTAAGTGGAGAAACTATCCTGCATTATCTCAGTGGACCCAAGGTAAATCACAAAGCTCTGATAAGAGGTGAGCTACAGCATCAGAATCAGAGAAGGAAAAGACTGAAGAGAAGAGAGCAATGTAATATCATTAGACAAGGAATGCCAGTGACTCTAGAAGTTGGAATGGCAAGGATTGGACCCTGCCCACCACTTTAGACTAATGATCTCTGGAAATATACAATTACATGTTTGCATTGTTTTACATTGCCAGGCAAAACCTACCACCATTGGATTGATTACAACTCCCCATCAGAGGAGTCTGAAAATCTTAATGAGAGTTTGAATTGTAATTTCCAGGGCTATAAATCTTAAATCAGGATAGACTTCCTCTTCTTTCTCCCCCAGAACAGCTAGTGGATTCAAACCACTAACCTTTTTATTAGCAGCCCAATCTATAATAGATAACACCAAGGTTTTTTTGTAAGAAATTACACTAATAGTGATTTCTTACAACAGCAATAGGATGATAATGCACTTGATTGACCAGAAAATGCAGACAATAGAAATAATTTCCTATTAAAAAAAAATCTAAACTCTCAAAAAATAACTCCAGATTTGTTTCTCTTTAGAAACTTAAAGAGGTTAATGTTGATGTTGTTGGTAAGTACCGTTGAGTCTCCTATGACTCACAGTGACCCTGTGAACCACAGACCTGAACCTTTGCCCTTTCCTGTCCCATTCTCACAACTTCCAACATGCCGAAGTCCATTGTTCCAAACACTGTCTCAATCCCTCTTGTTAAGGGTCTTTTGCGTTAATCGCTTTGTTGTGTGTGCCGTTGAGTTGGAACAGATCACAGCTGACTTTAGCAGATTTTCACAGCCTGTAAAGAGCAAAGAAAGAGAGAGCCATCTTTCTCCAGCAGAGCAGCGGGTGGATTCCAACTGCCTGCCTTTAGGTTGGCAGCCCAACTCCTTACCAATTATCCACCACAAAAATATAATTATTCATCAGTGTCTATCCACAAGAAAGCACCAAGCTTTAACTAAGTGTAAGAAATCAATACACACTTACAGAACTTATTTTCAGGAAACGAAGCCAATCAAATGAACCAACATCAGTTACTGACAAGTCTACTCCAACTCCAGGTCATCTATGTGTTTCAAAGTAGAACTACACCTAGGATGTTTAAGTCTCACTTTTGGAAGCGGATCGAAAGGCCTTTCTCCTGAGGCCTCTCTAGGTGAGTTTGAAATGCTTAGGGTTAGCTTCGTAATAAAAGCACTTAGCCATTTGTTTCACCCAGAAACTCCAAGGAATAAGCAAACATTTAGAGAAAATGTTCCAAAGCTACTCAATTCATCTTATGAAGCCAGCCTAAATTTAATATTAAAATCAGGGTAAACAAAGAGCAGTTACAGGCTGGTAACACCATTCATTCATGCATTAATCTAGACCTTCAGATACACTCATTCATTACCTTAAATGCATTTATTCGTTAAACAAATATTCTGCTCACAGTATTAAGGATGCAGGAGTGGACAAAATAAAATTCTGCTCTCATTGAATTTAAATCCTCCTGAGGAGACAAGAAATAATAAAACAAATAACTAATATGTCACAGTGTGGTGTGTGCTCTGAGGAACAAAGCAGCATCGGATCATTGCAGTTTGTCACCTGTTGGAACCCACCCATACCTGACCCTCCAGCAGTCTTCAGAGGCAGCACATTGTACAGGAGGAGATTGCCCATCCTTCTTCCATGGAGCAACTTGTGGACTTGAACACCAGGCTTTTGAGATTGCAGTGCAGCTTTTTACCACTAGGCCACAGAGCTGCCTAATGATTAT